GGGTAGATTCAGTCACTCTTAGATGTGTTGACTTCCAGATGGGTGTAGGGCATCCAATAGGATTCTGAAGCTAAGAAGCAAGGTTTAAACTGGAAATAAACATCTGAGAGACATCAGCATAGGTGGCTGAAGTCTCAAGATTCTGAAGCCAAGAAGGTCTACACTGGAAATAAAGATTTAGGTGACATCAACATAAGTAGCTGAAGTATCAGAGAAAACAAGTTCATATAGAAAAGAAAAAGATAAATCCACATATTATATGTACTAGTTCTTCTCGGCTTATGAGAGGTTTTCTTGATAAAGCGTTAAGTTTCAAATTTACTTTATTTACCACTCTATCCCCAGTGACTAGAAAAGTGTCCGACACGTAATTATTTGTGTGATCATTTTTTTCCTTAGGTCAGATCATTAAAATTGTCTCACCATTGTTAATGTGGATTTAATTCATCTAGCATTAAGTGATGACTTAATGCAAAATTCATTTGTGATTGAATTTTTTAAATCATTTAAAAATTTTATGTATTTCTTAAATGCCTTAACCTACATAAGGGAAGCAGTATTAGTAGGTGAAGTTTGTTGAGTCTTATTAAAGGTGTGGCTTTTGTTTTTGTTTACTTGTTTTGCATCTCCTTGCCAAAAGCCTGTAACAGCAATGTCCCACCATCTATGTGTCCTTCCTTTAAACAAACTTGGTTTTCCCCTTTCTCTTTCTTTTATGTACTTAGAGTACTTCAGCCTATTCACCCTTTGGGCCCTTCCACTACAGCCACAGGGCAGTCAGGCATCTACGTAGCTTAAATAAGGGAAAGAAAGAGCTGAAGTGTATTTGCACAGTAATTTGAAAGAAGGGTGAAGTAACTTCATTTATCCATGTGAAAGCAGAAATGATTCCTACCTCTCACTGCAATGCAGCTCTTGCACCTCTATGTCTCTGGCTTTAGGACTTTCAGAAACATTCCATTTCTTCTTTTGCATCCTACTGTGCTCCAATATCCTGACACAAACCTGCTATATCATCAGTGTTTCATTATCTTCATTACTGTTCTGGCTTGTGTTTAGGTGTCCCCCTAGAGTCTCATGTGGTCATAGGTAGGGCTTGTCCAGAGGTGGCTGAATCTAGAGTGTGTGAGGCTGGGAATGATTCATGATGCAATACTAGGATCAAGGGTGCTAGGATTAAGGGTGTGAGTGCTACCTGACCTGAGTAGCCTGGGTAAGAGATAAGGGACAGAAAAAGCTGTGATTGACCCTTGCTTGTTTTGCTACCTCTTGTCCACCATGAACTATTTCTCCCGGGTGATGCTTGTCTGCCAAGCCACCCTGCTTTGGAGGCAGCTGATAAAACCTCTACAAACCGTGAGTCAAATAAACCTGTCCTCCTTTAACCTTGGGTGTCAGGTATTTTGTCTCAGCAACAAGAAAAGTAATTAAGAGAAATGCACTTATTGCAATCTGAATTTATGTATTTCTTATCTTGATTACTCTTTCTTTACTTGACTAAATTGCCTAGAGGGTAGATTTCATGTCTGGTTTGGCTCACTAATAAAGCTTCACTTATATATTTCTTACTTGAATAGCAAAACCAGTATCTTTGTTGCCTTAATAAGTTTTCACTGCTAAGAGCAGTGGCACAACACCTATAACCCCAGGTACTCGGGAGGCTGAGGGAGTAGGATTCCAAGTTTGAGGTCAGCCGGGACAACTCAGTGCAATCCTGTCTCAAAGAAAACAGGGACGGGGATACGGGGATGTAGAACAGTGGTAGAGGACTTGCCTATCATGAATGAGGACTTGGGTTCAATTCTCAGTTCTGTGGGGAAGAAAGAAAAAAAGAACTAGTGTTTACTCATTCTTTATTCAATTCATGCTTTACTGATAGTATCATACAACTATCATTTTTGTGCAGTTATTTTAATACAGTATCCTTTTTATAAAGTTAAGTCAAAATCTATAAGTACTATAGGGTATCACAATGTCACTTTCTACCTTTCCCATTTGGCCATTTTATTGAATTTTATACCCATTCCAAACCACAGTACCACTGTATCTGTCCTACATTATGCATGAAAAAACCTGGCAGATGAGTCAAAACTCAGAATTATCACCACATACCAAAGACCCCCAAAAATGTTGATGGACTTGTCTTTACAGCAATATATACGCATGTTATCAATATAAAAGAGAAAATATTTTGCAAGGGGGTAGTTTTTGCCTATTAGTCTTAATATAAATACAAACAAAAAGTACATAAAAATCCAAGAACCTCCAGGTGCACAAAGCTTTGTGCAACACAATCCTTAAGATACCTACGCTGAGGCACTAGAATGAGTAAATGACTTCATCATCTACTATTTTGGATTCTCTGTCGATGGTAAAGGTTGCATCTGTAATTTAGCATTGTACTTTAATCACAATTCTGCCTTGTTACTTCTATCAGTGAAGGGGCTTACTGAATGCAAAGGATCCTTGAGACCAGAATGACTCGTTCAATTAAACTGTTATTTATCTCTTTAGGTTTGAAATTGCTATTGAGAATACAAAAATAATCTTTGCTTATCAACTAATTATGTATATTTATAGAATTGTTTTTTTCTCCTCCAAAAAGTAACATTTAAATTGGGATTTCATTTCAAAATTTTCTTTTAGAAGGTCATATATAAAATTTGTAGTACATAGACAGAAATAGAGGAATTTGTGCTTTGTTTCATGTCATTTTCCAGAGTTGATAGTCTTTGCTGGAAAGATCCAAATATAAAAACAATACAGAAATGTTAGAAGCAGAAAAACAAAATCAAAGCAGACTGTAGATCATGTCCAGGTACCACGGTTGGTACAGTGGGAATCACAGAAGAATAACATTAAATCCCCACTCTAGAATAGCCACATCCTATTGGCTCTTCCTCCAAAACAGCTACAATTCAACCCTCCTTACCTTGACACTCACATCTTACTATCTGGTTGAAGGCCCTATAATCTCTCAGCTGATCTACAGCGATAGTCATGTAACTGAATTGCTGTTCCTTCAACCTACGAAGTGTATTTCTGTGTCAAGCCTGTGTACAGTACTTAATCTTCCCTCTGCCTAGTATGTTCTTTCCATATCTTCACAGAACTTCAGGTTTCTGTTCAACTGTCCTCATATTAAAGAGGCTGACCCTGATACGGCATATAAAATAACCCATTCTTTCCTCTCTGTAACTTTAGTTTATTCTTCTTTGTGGCTTTTATTACTAACATGGCATACATTTATTACTAGTTTCCTCTACTAGAATGTAAACTTTTTGGGCAAAGATTTTTTTACTATCTTGAGTATTACTGCATTTTCTGTGTCTGGAACAGTGCTTGGCAGACAGTAGATAATCAATAAATGTGTGTTCAATTTGACAGTATCCATTCATGTAAATAATGATATAGGGCAATGACAAATTAATAGGACACTTTTCATAGTTAACTGCTAATTGAACAGCATGAGCCAGTAATGCCCTAAAGGAATATACATCACAGGACTGCCTTTCCAAAATATACATCACCAAACCTTACTACAGAACCCACCACATCTACCCAGGTAAGGTTCTGAGCATGTGTATATTTAAATAGCACCCTAGGCAACTCTATTTTTTTTTTATTGTGGCAAAATAAATTTGCCATATTAACCACTTCCAGCTGATTCTTTTTTGCATCGTTATTTAAAACTACTGGTACAATATGTCAGTTCAGTAGAGAAAAAATGGGAAGCTTCAAAGAAAGAAAGAGAGAAAGAGAGAGAGGGAGGGAGGGGTACCACACTATATTAGAAAGAGTATAGGCTCTGGAATTGAATTCAGGTCCATTGCTCTAGCTGTGACATCAGGACAGTTACTTAACTTTTAGTTTCTACGCCCACAAAATGAAGATAATCCTTATATACTTTCTCTCTCCCTACATCCATTGCGGACTTCTCCAAGTTTACTGTAAAGCTAAAATGAAATCAAGTATATAAAGTATCTACTTTGGTGTACATAATAGGCATTAAACTTACTTTCACTGAAATAAAAATAAAATTATACTGGCAGAAAACATGTATAACATATGTATAATCTTGGCATAAGTGACTATAAAAAGGGCTGTATGTGGTGACACATGCCTGTAATCCCAGCACGTGGGAGGCTGAGGCAGGAGGATATTGCTGCAGGTTCAAGGCCAGCCTAGGATATATAGTGAGTTCAAGGCCTGTCTGAACTACATAGGAAGCCCTCCCCTCCCAATAAAAATGGCTGGGGCTGGGGATTTAGCTCAGTGGGAGGCTATATAAACATACTTCCTTTTCCAGTGGGACAGCTAAGAATAAAACTTTCAATATAACAAAATTAGAACAGTGATTCTCAAACTTGAGTGTGCTTTAGAATCACCTGGAAGACTCCTTAAAATACTGATTTCTTAGGTCCATTCCCAGAGTTTCTTATTCAGTAAGTCTAGGGTGGGGCTGGTAATCTGTTGTTCTGATAAGTTCCCAGGGGATGCTGATGCTAGTGCTGGTCTGGGAATCGTAACTTGAGGACCAATGACTTGAAGTATGCACAGCCTAACCAAACCTCTCAACAGACTAATTCTTTTAGCATAAATTTTTAAACTAAAGACCCTGAAATGGTTCACTTTTTTAAAAGTCATCACCAACAATCTTTATGATTTTTAGAACATTTTACAATCTGATAAAAATCAACTACAGTGTATGTATTAAGATTGAAATAACAGAAAAATTTCATGTCACATTGAAATAACAGAAAAATTTCATGTCACAAATAGATAACTTTCTATGTATCCAGGATAACTTTCTATCTATGTATCTGGTATGTAAAATTTTTTGGCACTAGTATCCTGGTGACAAATATTCTGAAAATTAACAATAATTCTTAGAACACTGTTATCTAAAGTTAAAAATCTAGATAAAAACAGAACATGGTAGTTTTAAAGTAATGAATATAGGAATAATTTTTGAGAAGTAGATGACATAGAATACTTACAGGTATGGAGACATTCCGTCACAGTAGTTGGCTTGATCAGATACCCTTTACAAATATAGCAGGTAATGTAAGGATTAAAATCTTTCACCAAGTGTTTCCTCTGGGTAGCCATTCGCAGTTAGCGGGCTTTAGTAGTTCAGGCAAAGAGGGGGACTAAGTGGATAAAAAGTCTGATCCAGGAGCTGGTATAGTGGTTTCCAGTAGGATGTTCTGAGGCATGAGAACTAACATCCAGATTTATCATGAGATTGCTGATCATCACTCCGTTTGGTGGTTCTTCTTTCCCATATCTGTTCCCAAAATCACTGTAAAAAGATGAGAAAAAAGATGTCAAATTCCTCATACTGTGTCAATACCACTGTATTACCAGCAAGTGTCACATAGTCTAAATTGGGTGAATGGGTGAATAGAACATATTCTTGACAAATAACTTGTAAATCTCCAATACTTGAATTCAAAACAAGAACAGACTCATTCAATCCTGGAGCTTCAACTGTCACCTCCATACTGATAATCGAGGCTTTTTGCTTCATTTTGATATCATTCCTTAGTAATGCATTTTACTATATGCTTGACTGTTCATTAGGAGTTCCTGCTAATGTTACAAGCTAAAAGATTCAAAACTGAAGTCATTATCTTCCCTACTAAGCAGTTCCCTATTTCCACTTTGTACCCTACATTCAATAGTCAAACTGAGTTGATGTCTTTTTCTATTTCATGCACAGCCATCCTATTTGCATATTACCTCTTCACTTGCAATCCATCTTACATTTTGGTGTCAAGTTTATTCTATCCTATCACATTTGGGTCTTCTCAAAAATGTCAGTGTTCCTACCTTACAAATAGAAAAAAGAAAACCATTAAATTTCTCAGCATGTCATAGAAGACACACCCCCTCACAGTTTAACCTTACAATACCTTTCAACATCTTTATTTAGGCAAATTCAAGGGGTAAGTCCCCTCCCATGGCCACTCTGCAGCTTTTGTCTTCTTTTTCTTGTTGTTGTTGGTACCAGGGATCGAACTTGGGTCCTTGCACTCGGGAAGCAGGCAGCGGAACCACTGAGCCAAATCCCCAGCCCATGCAGCTTCTGTCTTCTATCAAACAAGTGCATCCTCTCCTCTGCATCCTACTTATCCCTCAAAACCCTTTTCCAATGCATTCCTCAGTGTAATCATTTCCATGTTTTTAATCCTTTTCTCCTACTTTCTTTGTATTCTGATTAATACATTCATTCTTTACCTCCTCTGTCAGACTGAAAAATCCTAGAGAAATGCCACGTTTAGTGGACTTATAACCTAACAGCAGTGTTACTTTCCTAAGTATGTTTTTTAACTGTAAAAATGAAAGAAAAAAGTGTCGGCTTCCTTAGAGTGGTAAGGACTAAACACAGAGCTAGCAAACACTAAGAATTGAAAAAATGTCATTAAATTTTCTCGCAACTTTTAGCATAGTTGGCTTGTAGATAAGGTTACTCTAAAAAAAGTTTTAAGAGGCCTGGTGTAGTGTGAATGTTCAGAGACTGTGGCAAGAGGATGCCAAGCTCCTGCTCACCCTGGGTAACTTAACAAGATACTACTTCAAGAAATTAAAAGGGTTGAGGATGTGGCTCAGTTGCAGAGTACTTGCCTAGGGTGCACGATGCCTTGGTTCAGTTCCCAGTGTGGGAGTTGGGGGAGTTTTCAGTTTCTTACAAGGAAGGCGCCTCTCACTTAGCACAACATGAAAGGTGATGATTTTTCTAAATTCATTCTATAAACAAGTACATTTCCTCTATCATAGCTTTAAACACAGGCAAGTATAAAGTAACCACAAAGGTAAAAAGCATTACTGTTTTCCATCAAACTACTGCACCTATTGCGAAGGTGCAGGGAACAGGTTCTGTGTGTAATCATCCTGTCCGCTGGGGAAATGATGTTGAGGGTGTGACAGAAAGCATGACTAACCAGGATATCAGGGTTGTGGCCCTGTGTCACCTTCAGTAAAGCTTTTACTATCCCTGCCAGGGTTTCAGATCCTCCTCTGTACGTTGGGATTAACTGTCTCGCCTTTCCTACAGGTTTGCTCCGAAGCTCCAGAGCAAGAGCAAGTCTTTGAAAGAGGAAACGCAAGGTCCTGAGCTGGGTGGTGTTAAGATGAGGGGCAGCGCCCTGTCACCAAGACAGTTAAAGGAAGCGAGTCCTCGCGGAAAGGCGCGTCGGCGGCGCGGAGAGAACTTTTCCGCGTTCCCGCGGTGCCAGCGCGGTCGCCCGTTCGGCTCAGCAGGTGCGCGGGCCCGGTCCGAGGCCGGCAGGGGCCGCCCGAGCGCAGGGCGCGGCTCCCGGGCGCAGGGACCCCGGCCGACCGACTCCGGCCCCCGGCCGACCCCACGCCAACTCCATACCGCGGCAAGGGTCCGGAACTGCCGATCCCGCCGGGGCGCAAACTTGGGGGGCAGCGCGCGGGCTGGCGCCCAGCCCCTCCCGAACCCTCCCGTACCTACCCAGGGCCACCGCCGCCGCTCCTCGCCCGCCTGCGCGCCGGCCTCTGAACCGAGGAAAGTGAAAGAGAAACAGCGCCCGCAGCGGCCTGGCCGATCCCCGCGCCCGGTCCGCCCTCCCCCTGCAGGCGGGAGCGCGCCGGCTCCGCGGGGCCACTCGGCTCTGGCCGATAGGGCGCGACGGCCTCGGGACCCAGGGCCGGGCCGCCTCCAAGGGCAACTCCACCCCTCCAGCTCCCGGCCCCGGCCCCGCCCCCGCTCCGCGCCCCGCCCACAGCCACGCCCGGTGCCACCGCCTCCCCTGCCCGCCGTGTGGCTTGGGTGTGAAACACTGCTTTGGCCAAATTCTGTCTCGTGTTCTTATCCCTGTCACCACCACCCTCCCCGTTGTTTCATCATAACAATAACGTATATTTTTCCTGGAGGGTTTAAAAGCAAAGGTCAGTGCCGAGACCTAGTCACCCTTCAGAATTTTGTCTCTTCAGTTGCATCTTCCCAAATCAGTCCACCGAGGCCACAGTAAGAACGAAGACATCCCTTGATTTACACCTTTACAATCACTAAGGAACTTGTTACTGTGGGGCGGGTCCAGTGATCACGATGTTTGACAACTGTAACTAAACGGGGAACCTTGTGGGGCTAAGGGTGAGGGTCAGGAGAAGTGGTAAAGAATTATTACTGTTTGCAAGGTTCAAAACAAACAAAAACCTTCAGTACTCTTTCTAATGGACTTTGAGACTTAGGAGACCATTCATTGCAAAAGCATGCATCAAAAGTGCACATTAAGGGACTCTAGTCATCCAATCCTACTCTACTACATTCCACAAACTCACAAATCTCTACTACAACCATAATTTTGCTAAACATAAATTAGACCTGTTGATTAGTTCCTTAAAAGATTGCAAACCAGCAATCCTAGTGTAGCTAGAGAATCAGTCTTCACCGATGGAGCAAAAGTTCAAAGGAACTTTCCAAAGGGAAAGTTGCAAAGTTCGATCCCCAGCACAAAAAAAAAAGTTGCAAAGGACAACTTCTAATCTTATATTTTAGAAAAAGGAAAAGTTGTTGCATTTACATCATCACCTCTTTTGTAGAAACCAGAGCAGGGATGGCTAAAAAACTGATGGTCAATGAAAATATTTGCTTTATCTTCTACAGACAGTACTCATTTTTTTTTTTTTTTTTTGCTAGACTGATAGATGGTGAAGATGACTCTAGGGACAAATCAACAAATCTAACAACCACTGATCCTCTATGTATACAGGTGTCCAAAGATATATTTAAAATTTGAAATGCAACAAGGAGGAGACCAAGGCAAACTATCCATTTTATAATTAAACTTATGTGAAGTAGACATAAGCAAAACAAATCATCATTTTACTATCACAGCAAAAGCAATACATTTTTTGAAACAGCCTCAAATGATTACATTTTTAAAAATCCTTTTAAGAACCATTTTGCAAAACTAAATATGCCAGTTTCCAAGCTAGGATCAACTTCAGTAGGTCAGGGTAATCATAAAAAGTAGAAGAAAACAAGTCAGATCAAATGACTTTACAGCAGAAGGATTATTCTTCATGTCTTTCACCTAGATACCGAATAAATAGATCAGTGTGAAAAACTCACCCTATTTCTAGTGTATTTAAAATATATAATGCAAGATATGACTATGAATACTACAGTACATCATATACAAACTTATTTGGTATTCTTTTACTTTGTGTCTCAACCTACTTTAAATGTATTTTAAAAGAGTAACAGTTAATGAGGTCCATAAAAGCATGAATGTAATTGGTAATCAACAATAAGTGAAGTTAAACAGCTTTCCAGAAGGAAATGAATTTGAGTGGATAGTAACAGTGTACAAGGTATTATTGAAAAATACTGTGTAAATAAAAAGATCTATTACAGTAAGAGACACATTGCCATTAGCCCCCTTCAAGATACTCCTCCTCACTTTGAACACACTCATCCCACCATTCTTGCCACTAGCTGAAGCCCTCTTTCTTCAAGTCCTCTTCATGAATATCTTGAGTTGTGGCTGCCTCAATGTCCTGAATTAATTCAAAACTTCTATCTTTTATGGTCATTTTGACTTTGAGGAAGATCCAGAAGTCATATGGTAACAGATCCAGTGAATAAGGTTGATGAGAACACACTGTAGTGTTTTCACAGGCCTGCCGTTCAGATGAATGGCACTCACCAGCAGCATTCACCATGTCTTCCATCAAACCTTGTAAAGACACTTATGAAAGAGGACTTCCAGAACTGCTTTAGAAAGTGGCAAGAACAGGGCCGGGGATTTAGCTCAGTGGTTCCACCACCTGCCTAGCAAGCGCAAGGTCCCAAGTTTGATCCCCGGTACAAGAAAGAGGAAAGGAAGGAAGGAAGGAAGGATGGAAGGAAAAAGAAAGAAAGAAAGAAACTGGCAAGACTTGTAAGGCATGGGGGATTAAGTTTAATAAAATTTAAATAAGTGATGATTAAATTTTTAGAAAAGGAAAGTGGCAAGAATGATAGGATAAGTGTGTTCAAAGCAAGGAATATTCTGAGAGAGATTAATGGCAATATGTCTTTTACTTAATAAATTTTACAAATTTAAAAATTTACCATGTTTTTTAATTATCCTTTTTATGTTAGCAATGGAGGGAGAGGTCACAAATATGCTGCAGAGCAATATCTGGAGGTGGATGTGGACGTAGGGTTACATAATAGACTGGAGGAGTAGATGTGAATGTAGATGTGGGGGTATCTGGTCATTGTAGGGCAATCTGTGCTTTGTGTGCCTAAAGGCAGAATGGTTTCTAGTGAAATATTCTGTGATTTCTCCTCTTCCCTCTTTAGCAATTACCTCCCTTTCTTACCACAATAAACACACACACACACACACACACAACACACACACACGAAACACAAAACATTCAAACAATACATTCAAACATTTGTTCACTTAACCAAATAACAATAAAAGAAATGGAGACAGGAAATGTTAAGAAAAGGCGACTTTCCTGAGCTATGTGTAGATTCTAAGTATTCAAACGTAGAACTTTTAGCTACTAGGCTGCTTCTCCCTCTCCCCTGGGGCTGCTCCCCAGTTGTTTATATTTATCCCTTGGATGTACAGGACTAGGAAAAAGAAAAGACAGGCTAAAAGAATCATAGGTGTTAATCCCTGTGTCAATAATCTTCCTTAGCCTTTTCATTTTCCAAATGTAGAAACCAAGATCCAGAGAGGTGGAAAATTCATAATCACAGAGCTGATTTTGATAGAGCCAAGACCAAAACAAAAATGTCAGTTCAGTTTTATTTACACATCTCAGGAGAACTTCTCAAGTTCAAGAATTTAAGAGAGATATAGTAAAAAAAAATAGATTAAAACAAGTGAAGAAGGAAGAGGAGAGGGAGAGGAAGAAGAGGGAAAAGAGAATGAGGAAGAAGGGAAAAAAGAAGGGATGAGGGGAGAAACAACTGCGTAAATGACACTTAGGTGTTTACTAGTCACTGGGGATCCCTGTCACAGAAGCACAACTCCAAAGTGATAACTTGTTTCATTATTGACCTCAACCCTTCCAGGCAACCACAAATGGTTCTTGATAGCCCTGGCAACTACTCAGAGATATCTGTATATGTAACGAGTGTTTTCATTACTTTACATTTTGTGTCTAGATTAAGACTGGGCAATAGATGGGTAGTTCTATACTGAAAGTTTATATTTATTTCTTTTTTGTTTACTGGATATACCACCAATTTACTGATGTTTAACTTATTTGAAAAGTAGGCTATATATTTACATTTTCTTGAATTATTAAATAAGATAGATTTTTCATTATTATAAACTATTTTATATGCCTAAATATGTTGTCTAAGCTTTTAACATAGTATATCTTCAGCATATAACATATAGTTAAAAGTCTTCCTATAGAAATTATAGAAAATACAAAATTTAACATCAGTGTCTGACTGGGCCAAGAGCATATATTTTATGACCACAAATATTATAGCTCAAAATAAATTATTGCCCAAAATCAATGATGAAGGAATGGGGGAGGAACAGGGAACTGAAGAACTTCCAATCACCACCGACCATCTTGCTTTCTCTCTTACTGCACTCTAATAATTCTCTAAGACTCTCTGGTGAATGTTTCTTGAATCTCTTCACTTAACCTGCCTTCTTCAGATCACTATCATCTCTACCCTCTATTACTCAGTGGACTATTAAGTAGTCTCCCAGAGCTCTTCTACAGCCAGAGGACTCATTCTAACTGCAAATTTGCTTCTGGCTTTAAAAAACAAACAACAACAAAAAAAAACAAAAAAACTCTTATTCTTAAGAGAAAGCCCAAACACTTAATAAGGCAATCCCAGATCCCTATCACTTTTGCCCTCCCTCCCTTAAACTCTACCATCTAGT